GGGATATCTGGGATACATGCCTTTTTTAATTTAGGAGACCTGGAATTCATAATCTCTATTCTGTTACAGTACAGATTTGTCCATGTGGAACGGCCTTCTCAGTTTGGCGGTGACCCGTGTGATTACTCTGACAAAGAAACTGAAGACTGCGTTACAAACAGACCTTGCAGGAATACAGTTAGATGTGAAGGCTTTGTGTGTGCCACAGGTTAGTGAATAAGAAGTGGTTTTCCTAAATTTGAAGCCAGTGGCTAAGCCCCCATGTATTGAATTGTATTTGAACTTAATAGAGTGAATGAAAATTTGAACTTAATAGAGTGAATGAAATCATACTCATGGCAGATCTTTTAAAGTGTAGAGTAATAGTTCACATTGCTTGATTTGTCGCAACTGAAATTTGATGTGGTTCGCATTATTAAACAGACATAATTATAAAACCAGCAAGAAGAATGGGACAACAGGGAACAACAATCGCCTGGTTTGTGCATCATTTTAAACCACAGTTAAACTAAACTATGGTTTATATGCGAACACACAGTGTGCTGGTGAATGATGCAAAACAGTGGGCGATTCACTTCTCTCGAGCAACTTCTGCTGTTGCGCTGCTGGGAATCAGGCCAGAGTCTGGGTCCGGCACTAAATTCCAATCTGGGTTTGCTGCTTTCCTGACAAACCATGAATTGAAACCAAGGGTTGTTATTGGCTTACCAATTATGGTTTGTTGGGAGAAAACAATCTACAAGCCTGAGTTCAGACTAAGTCAGACGATGGACTGTTTCCTGGCAGCACATATAGAGCATGAGCAGGGAAGGAGTGAAGTGCCTGTAACGTCAACAGTGTACACCAGCATACTGCATGCTCATATTTAATCCATAGTTTAAACAGTTCCAATCTGCGAGGTGCAGTGCTTGTGCAAATGGAATGTCCATGTTCCTACACAATGCACAATGTTCAATTCCACCCGCTGTGTACCCCTGGTGGTGTCATGTTTCAGAAATCATAAATGATATGCTCTCTGTTAGCTTTATCATAACAAAATTTATTTGTTCCCAGCTCCCTTTCTAGGTTCATTTTAAGAGGTCCATACAGATCAAAATGAAGCTCACGTGCTTTCTCTCATGTCTGCTGTTAAAATTTATTGGATTACATTATGCCCAAGCCTGCTTGGTAATCACGCCTGCGTGTGCATTTTCCAGCAGTATACATGGCAGGGTGCTGGAGGTATAGATGCTCTAGACAGGCTGCAAAGAATTTCAGATCTGTTCTGGGTTATAAACTGCAGCAAGAAAAATAAGAAAACTGCCTTCCCAAGCTCTTCTAATGATACATATTATACACAGCTAGAATTTCAAAATATTGCAGTCGTATTTTTTTTAAAAAAGATACTGCAGCAACAATCATCAACATTCGTAATATATTAAGAATTACTCCTCATCAGCTTTCTCCTCAAACTTCACTATAAAACAAAAAAATGAGGATTTATTAGACACAGCAGTGCTGTCTCGATTTCTGCAGCCAGGAAACTCCAGGTTGCTGTTTGCTTGTTTTTTATGCAATGGCAACATTTGGAATTCCTACAGAAATTGTACTTTTTTTTGGTGGTTGCAGCAAGTGATGAAAGGATGCAGGAAGCATTAAGTTGGTAATGCAAATGGGATGCCATGGGAAAGAGACTTTGCATTATTAGGCTATATGCAACGTTGGCAGATTCTGCTTTCATAGCAAGCAGGCGGTCCCAGTTTTCAAGAAGTTTAGGGCAGGGTCTTATTCAAGCCAAGAAAGCAGTGGAAGCAGAACCAGGAGCTGTTTGGGGGTCAAGGAGAAGGGGAAAAGGCAGGAAGTTGGCACAGGAATAAGAGTTATGGCAGGGCAGAAAGGAGGTCTTGAAAACATAGACTCAAGAGTGCCATAAGTAGGATTTGCAGTACAAATTTGCTTAGACTCAATTTTATGGATGAGGAATCCTTAGGTGGTGGACATATTTATATACTACTAGTGCTAATAATAATGATTATTTATTTATATGCCACCCATCGAACTGGGTTACCCCAGCCAATCTAGGCAGCTTTCAATAGATTAAAATACAGCAGTAAAAATCACTAGTAGGTAACTCATCCTATTGTAGTTTTGGGGGATAGAGAACAGGGATATAAACCCAAGGTTAAAGCCATTGCACGGTATTTACCCACTTCTATAGATCCAGGTTTAGTATTCAAACATGGCCCATCAACTGCTGCTTCTCAGCATAGGACATTGAGTGCAGGCTGTTCAGTTTCTCAACTTTTTGCAGACAGTGGCCTCATTCAAATATTATGATGAACTGTTATTTTTCCAAAACATAAATGAGACAGTGCAAGCCTTGGGTTTGAGTGGCCGCCTTCCTGTCTCTTCTTTTGCACAAGTACAGTGAGGAGATTGGAAGATTTCACCTCCATCTCCAACTGACCACAGTTTAATGTTACATCCGAATCCTAAACTGTAGCTAATCTGAACTAAGGTGTATGGGCACCAGTCAGCATCATAAAGTGAGGTTTGTATTCAGCAAAGCATAGTTAAAACTATCCACAGTTTTTCCAGCTTATGACATAACACTAATCGGCCGTTAATTAAAAAGTGGAAGTGAAAGCTTCCCATTTTCCTCCAGGACTGACCCAAGCCATCTTGTTGTCTGAAGCACATAGCAACATGCTCCACACACCCCTTTTCATGTACAGAAACTAACTAGCAGTTAAGTCTTGCTTTAACACATACAATGTGATAGCATCTGTCTGTATGTATATCTGTGCACCTGAGGACAGCAGGCTAGTTTAGGCATATTGCACACATATTTCTAATCTCCAATGGAGGGGAATTGTTGAGGAACAGAGGCCTCAGGAGGAATTGAAAGGGACCACTGCAACCTCCTCTAGCATCTGCACCTGAGATAATTCCCTTACTCTGCCTAGCAGTAGGCTGGCAGTGCCTCTCATGGCAGTGCAAAGCAGAACAGGGAAGGTGTGAGCCTGAGGTTTGCACAGGAACATTGATGTAACAGTAAACCATAGTTTATTATTACATCCAAACAAAGCCAGTACGAGCATGCTTTCAAGCATTTCAGCACAATTCTAAAGTACAGAAACATTGCCTTTTCAAAACAATGATCCTCAATACTCAGTACATTCTATATTTCAACCAGATTGCTAGGTTATACATTGGCTGCATGTTGCAATTACAGTTGTACCATATTTCTCAAGTTCTTTCTGCTAGTGACGACTTTTCGCCTAAGAAATGCAATACAATTTGCCGCTAATTTAAGTTCAAAATAATATTACCAAAATGTTTATGCAGACTCATCCTAATCAATTAAATGTGCCTGGTTATTAAACCCGAATTTGTAAAGGAGCAGATAAGCCAAGCGCTTTCCCTGAAATAAATTGATAATTGCATCTTCACATTTTCAGGGGTCAGGGGCAAAGCATTGCACTGATTGAGCTAAAGGGAAATATCAGATTAACAATTAATTAGTGTGTTCCCACTCTGTGTTGTAGGGAGATGCATTAATCGGAGGCTGCTTTGCAATGGAGATGATGACTGTGGGGATCAGTCAGATGAAAGAAATTGTAAGAAAGTATATAAAAAGTGCAGCCAGGAGATGGAACAATACTGGGGAATACAAATGCTAGCAAGTGGGTAAGCAGTTCCATTATATTTCCAGAAACAGGACTGATGCCAAATGGAACAATTTGCAGTTCCACCTTTAGAATTGAGGTGGGAACCTTTTTTTCCAGCTTGAGGGTCACATTAACTTCTGGGCAATCTTCCCCAGAGCTATGTGCCAATGGTGGGTGGGACCAGAGGTAAAAGTAGGCGGAGCAACAAATGTAAATTTTACCTTTACTCAGCAGGCTAGTTTCTGCACCTGCCCACCCCTACCCTACATTCAGACCACCATGAGGAATTAACAGAGTTCAAGGAAACATTCCAAAAACACTCAAGGAGGGTGTGAAACTAGGCTGGTGAGGCTGTGGCCTGGGAAGAGATGAGGTAATAAGGGAGGGGAAATGGCTTTGGGGATTCTCAAGGGCCTAGAAGTCCACATTTGGCTCAGGGGCCTGGCTGAGATTTCACATTCCTGCTATCCATAAAGAGCTATCAATAAATTCTACGACTGCTTAGAGAAAAGGGGGGTTTTGAGACACATTCTCATAGTTCCTAGAAACGTAGCCATGTTACTCTGTTGCAGCAGAATTTTACAACAGGTGTTAGAAACTTCATATAGTTTAGCTACATCTGAACCTTCATCAACTCATGGGAAGAATCTACTTCTCCTCCACCTGTTCATGACCCAGGCAAGGAGACAGCTTTTAAATAAAACATGGAACCAAAAGAATTACAGCAAGCTTAGCTACTATTTTAATAGCTCAACTTAACATGGTTGTTCTAGCCGAACCACTACGGTACTTCAGAAAAAGGTCTGACCAGAGTAAAAACAGAACAAAGCTTATATAGTAGCTCAAACACAGCACACAAAGAGTTATAAAACATTGAAACATTCTTAAACACCCTCCTACAAACATCAAGAAAGGTTACAGGTCATGAGAAGTAAAACACACATGGCTCCATACCAGTAACTTCGCCCCTGCAAATACCTTCGGGTGCCCCTAACTGCTCAGGTCATTTGGGTCTCAAATGTCCTACTATATCAGAGTTTCCCTAGCAACCAGGCCTTCCACCCAGTTGTTGGCATTCCTGTCCCTATCTGTTCCTTGGAACCCCTCAAGGAGATGCCGGATTTCTTCACCCCGATGCTAGCTCAAAGCAGAAGCAGCAAAACATCCTGAGTGACCATTTGTGCCACTTCCAGGGTCAGATAGGAAAGGAGTTTATCGCAAGAGTCATAAAATACAGGCACACCAAAAGAGGACTAATACATTCTAGCCAAAGGTCCAATACAATTAATATTAGAACGTTTTTAAAATTAAAAAAATCTACACCCTGGGTGTCCCAAACCCCTGGCCTACCTGGTGGGAAGTCAGTATGTCAAGTTCCCAGTCCAGGGTCAGTCCACATGCCCAAAGTCCCACAGAGATCCTGGAGAATCAACATAGGCAGTTAGTTGAGCAGACACAGCACCTCAATGATTGCAGCATCTGGGCTTAATGAGGCATGTGACCTTCACCTGTTCCAAGCCTACTCCAGCTGAAGAATCACATAGCGAGCTCCACCTGGCTAGCTAGGGAGATAGGCTGTGGGTTATTGCTTGCCCCAGCCTCCAAGACAGACTCTGCTGCTGCTCCTTACACCTAAGAGCCTGCTCTGTTTGTGGAGACAGGGACCCCTCTGGCTCCGGTGATGGGTCCTGCTGCTCTGTTTCCTGTGCACTGACCCCTGCTCCCATCCCCTCTGGAAAGCACAGTAGCTGCAATCTGGTATAGATAATACTGAACTGATTGAGCCAACAGTCTGACTTCAGTATAAGGCAACTTGCTATATTTTTATTGCATATACTATAGCCTGCCTCACACACAAGGCCCTGTCCACTTATATATACGTCTAGAAAGGAAGCAATGGAACAGGTTTTAACTGTTTCAGGTTTTAACCATTTTAACTCTCATGGACTGCCACACCTAACTGCTGGGTTCTGTTCAGCTTAGTGGGTTACAAGTAGTGCAAGTATGAAAAAAATCAGAATACTTTGGAGGTTCTCTCCTGGATGGTAACAGAATATAATTTGTTCACTGTGTCTGGGAAAATCAGTATGCTTGATAGGCAGCTATTACAGACCCAATTTTGACACCCCCCCACATTTGCTGCATTACTGCTTTTTAAAAAATTGTGTAGTTTTTCCAAGGCCAAAACAGGCCTCATATGAACTAAAATTTGTAGCCAAAAGAAGATGTATAACTTACTTTGAATAACCAATGTCTAAGCATGGCAACTTTATCCATTTCCCATCTCCCCAGATTAAATATTTTCACAAATGACCTGGAAGGATGGGTTTTAGACTATAAATACTATGCTGGAGCATGTTCTCCCCAGTATATTGGAGACACCAATTTCAGAAAACCATACAATGTAGAAAGCTATTTGGCAGAGGTATGTATTGAAGAGCTGTATGTGCAGTTAAAATTCCTAGGATTGTTGATACATCAAGTCATTTATTAAAGTAAAAATAATGCTCAACCAAATATTTATGTTTTATGCTTACGTGTTTTATGTGAAGTCCAAGTCACTTGGGCTTTCTCAAGTACTCTACATATGTGTGTTAGAGATAATCCAGAAGACCTCTCCACAGATAATATCAGGTATTATGAGTTGCATTTTTCCTTCATAAGGAAGATTTTTCATATTTTCAGCAAAGCAGCTAAGGATTCTGTCTCTCTTTTAATGAATCAGCAATACATATTTCTGTAATATATTGTTGAGGCACTTAACTTGCTACCAACAAGCCATATGCCTTATGTGTAAAACATGTCTGCATGTGGACAACTATGTATTTATTTAATTATGAATGCCATTTATTTGCTGTCACATACAGAATATTGGTTTGCAATAAATTTATTTATTGGTTTTATTGGTTTGCAATAAATATATAGAATGAAAACTACAAAAAATATGATAACTTTAGGTGTGGAATCAGGATACAAAAAGTTCCTTATTCATGTTTTTTGTTTAGACCAAAGGCAAGTATGAATTTGCGTTGACTGAATATGAATCTTATTCAAGTTTTGAAGAGAATGTCTCCAAGGCAAAAGCGAAACAACAAAGCTTCAGCATTGGTATAAAAATACCAGGCATGTTTGAAGTTGGTTACAGTCAGGATGACCAGAGGTACCAGAAGTACATTCAGAGGACAAAACGATTTTCTTCAACGGTAAACATGCTTCTCCATAATTCTAGGTTCATTTTAGTGAACATGGACAGTTTTAGAAACACTGTGTACTGTGTTTTGAAGTTAGGAAAGGTAAGAGTGTTTTTAAAGGTACCCCTGCCCGTACGGGCCAGTCTTGACAGACTCTAGGGTTGTGCGCCCATCTCACTCAAGAGGCCGGGGGCCAGCGCTGTCCAGAGACACTTCTGGGTCACGTGGCCAGCGTGACATCGCTGCTCTGGCGAGCCAGAGCCGCACACGGAAACGCCGTTTACCTTCCCGCTAGTAAGCGGTCCCTATTTATCTACTTGCACCCGGGAGTGCTTTCGAACTGCTAGGTTGGCAGGCGCTGGGACCGAACAACGGGAGCGCACCCCGCCGCGGGGATTCGAACCGCCGACCTTTCGATCGGCAAGCCCTAGGCGCTGAGGCTTTTACCCACAGCGCCACCCGCGTCCCTTAAGGGTGTTTTTAGTTTTGCTCAAATGTTTTCACACCACATTTAGAGCTGAAAATCATTATATTCAGAGATTTCTTTCTATTGTCACATCACCCTTTCTGAATTAGCTCCAAAACAATGGTTCAGGTCTGGGATCATTCTGACACATTACTCAGTCCACACCATACATTTAAAGCACAATCTTCGCACTTCAAACAGTCATGGCTTCCCTTAAAGAATACTGGAAGCTATAGATTGTTAAGGGTGCTTAAAGTTGTTAGGAAACCCTTGTTTCCCTCACAGAGCTACAGTTCTTAGAGTGGTTTAACAATCCATCTCTCGTCAGTGGCAAGTCTGGAAATCATAGAGCTAGGAGGATAAAATAGGGGTCTCCAACTAGCTCTCAGCACCCCTACAAAACTACAGCTCCCAGAATTCTTGGGGGGAAGCCATAGCTCTTTAAAGTAGGTTCGTAGTGCTTTGAATGTATGATGTGGATGCAGCTACAATGACTTGCTGGGTCACATTTTCTGCAGTCCTGGCTTCATATGTAGGATTTCCATGTTGTCACCGGTGTCAGTATTGACCACCTAGGGGGCCCTGAATCTAAACACTCTTATCTGCTTTCCCCTCCCAAACAGATGTTCCATTTTATTTTATTTTATTTTAAAGTATGTTTTTATTGATTTATTATAAACCTATATGCCAACTATCACATAACCTCATGCCCTGAGGGGGAATGAAGAAGATACAGTAACAGCTTTTTTCTAAAAGAGTTGTCGTATTTATTGTATGGTAATCTTTCCCCCCTTTTCTTTTTAAAGTGATGCCAACCACTTTGTGAGGTCTTCCTGAAAAGTGATCTATATATACTTTAAAAACAAACAAACCACCATACAAACAATAATAGAATGCTACACAGATCCATAATTTCAGGGAGGCTCCACAGAAAGAAAGTTGCGCAGTGATGTATATGGGCAGCAAGCATATATATTGTGAAGGAATTGGAATGAACATCTGTGGAGGGATGTATGCAAAAGATCTGGCCATGTGAAAGTGTGCATTTCCGTTTATTGGATAAGGCTACAGGGGATGTGTGAGAGTACCCTGCAGGTATGATAGGAATTTGACAGGAAGGCTGGGTTCAAAGCCCTGATGCCCCACCGCTCACTTCTGCTTAAGAATCTGTTTCTCCAAGGGTACTTTCTGAGATGGCTGCCTTCCTGTCCTTGGAATTTCCAGAGGGATGTCAGCATGCGCATAAAAGGCCATGCTAATGTTAGACTGGTGAAACAAGACAGGTGCTGTCAGTTCAGAATATGGCAATAGAAGCAAAGAAACCAAGCTATTCCACTGCAGGGCAGTCATGACAGTAATATATAATGAAAACTGCTTGCAGGCCTTACATAGTTTAATTATAGACTGAAGCAAGCCGATTCACCTTGGAAGAGTCGGTGCATCCACTGAAATGCCTTGTTCAGGAAAGCAGTGTGGGTTGCATGAAATACTCGCAGTTTCATTGCGGGAGGATGATACTGATCCATGTAGAATTTATTTCAAAACAAACCACTTGATACTTAAAAAGTGCGACTGGATTTCAGCACTACAAAATCTTCAAATTCTTCAGCTCACAAAATTATAGGGAGAAGAAACCTTATTATCACTGATATGAAAAAATATTTTTTTTAAAAAAAAATGGTTATAAGATTTAGATACTTAGGCAACACAATTATCAGGGGAGTTTTCCAGCTGAAACTCAGCCTCTCAGTTATCATTGCCATTTTAAGAGAATGAGGGAGGCATTCATGGTGACGGCACCTCTTTTTCTAGAAAAATAGCACTGACAATTATTATTATTATTATTATTATTATTATTATTATTATTATTATTATTATCAAGTGCATTAGGAAATTTGATTCAGTGCCAGAATAATTAGTGTATTTTTAATTCACTAATTAAACTTGAAGATTTATTTCGATGAATGAATCATGTGAATACAGTTAGCTATACATATATCCCCCCTCCCCCCATGTAAAATATACATCTAGCTGGCACAACTTTCTTGAAGGTTACTCTACTATTACATTTTCTCATATTTTTGGCTTAGACATGAGTCTGGATATCTTTGTCGCAAAGTCCATAGACTACCATACAACCCAGTGTTATTTCTGGCTTCACCCAAGGCAAAATCATTATTCAATAGGGTTGGTGGGGCAGCACAGAACAGGCTTGTGAACCATGGCAGACTTGGGTACTATGGCACCCTGTGCAAAGCCAATATTTGGCACGCTCCACTGCCTTCCCAAAGGCAGTCACAGAGCCCTCCCACAGCCTTCCCAAAGCTGGAAAAGCACTAACTAGGCTTTAGGAAGGAAAAGGAAGGACTTTAAGAGCCTCATATTTCCTTCCCAAAGCCCATTGCCTCACTTGCTGGGCTTTGAGATGGCGCCCCCTCTTTGCACCATCCTAAATCCACTCCTGCTAGTTACCCAATGCAGAGGGCCATGTATGATTAGGCAGTGGGCCAAAAGCAGCCTGGGGAGCACATCTCAGACATTTCTGAACATGAAAGGGGGTAAAAGTCATGCTTCTTGGAGACTATGCATAGTGACTGGGGAATGTGCATATTTCTTGGAGAATGTACAAAATGTAGCCAAAATAACAGCTGGAGAATGTACAAAATTCAGTCAATCTATGCACATTCCCCAAAGCCTGTTGAGGAGTATGTAAATTGACTAGGAAATGTGTACAGTTCTCTTTTCATGGAAGGATTATGTGCAGATTCTCCAGGAGACCTGATGAATGTGTGCAGTGAATGTGTGCACGCCCCCCCCCCATCTTTTATGAGAATACCTGTGCTTTCTAGAAACAACTAAAGATGCTGCTGTTCCAACCAACTTTTCCAACCTTAGGTATTCATTTTGTATCATTTTAAAACCTATTTTCAGTTGTTTTTGTACCGTTTTAAAATCTATTTGTAGTGGTTTATAAGTCACCTTGAAACAAATGTAAAAGGTAATAAATCAATCAAAGCAGCAGCATCATCACCTGTACATTTATTTCATACTGAGGTTCAGTGTGATATATTTTTCATATTTTATTGTATTTCCAAAATGTATTTAATGCAAGCAGCAACACAGATTGTTGTAAATATAT